AGGGAATCTTAAGGAGAACCGGCAACTAGTATTAAGGACAGACAAAGGAGGAGCAGTAGTAGTTATGAATAAGACTGATTATGTAGAGAAAATGTCAGAGACATTGGATGATGATTCAACATATAATATTATAATTATGAACCCGACAGAAGGCCTTAAGGTCAGACTTAAGGGTCTTCTGCAACAATGTGTAAACGGTGGAGAACTGGAGAAGTGAAAATGAATGCAATTCTTCAGCGAGATTTTAGACTCCAAATGTGTATGGTTTGCCCAAAATCCATAAGCAATGTACTCCACTTAGGATTATTGTAAAAAATAGAGTTAGTGTGATGCATCAAACATCACAATTTGTATGTACTCAGTTAAAGCAAATCTCCAAAACTTGGAAGTTTTCAGAAAAGAACTCTCACGACTTTATTAAGTTTATTCATGATCAGACGATAGAAGGAGGAAATTTGCTGGTAAGTTTCGATGAAGTGTCTATGTATACTGAAATTCCGATAAGCGAAGCGAAGCAGCCGATAGAATTAACACTATATCAGTATTCTGAAATCATAGCAGGTAAAAAGTTAAGCAAAGATTCGATAATTAGATTAGTCCATTTAGCATTGTATAATACATATTTTACCTTCAATTATAGGTTGTATGAGCAGACACGGGGTTTGGCAATGGTATCTTGTTTAACCTCTAATTTAGCTAATAACGACATGAACCAATAAGAAGTTCGCGTATTCCAAGAGACTAGATTATGGGGGTTTGCTATCGAGGAAGTGAAAGACAATTGGACCATTCTACTCGGTTTCTGATTTTGCCCTCCTGTCAGCTTGCTGAAATGTTGGATAACCTGGTGAATAAATGAAACATTTTCTTCACTAGTTCCTTCGTTTAGAGAATATTTACATCCTCTTTTTGGATCTGGCGGTTACAAGGTTTTTTGGTGGGTTATTTGTGGAGGAGACCTGCCGACTTAGTCAGAAGAGACTATGCGAACACAGAAACGCTTGTAAAGATCTGTGGGTCCAAAAATCTGAGCTCGCTGAACACATTTTGCCAATACAGGACACTCAATCGACTGGTAAGTGTAAGATTAGGGAGCCTGAAGGAATTAAAAAAATAGGCAGTCTCCTGAAAAGGAGGAACGAGTGTAGAAAAGTAAGTAGGAACTTTTTGTGGTTGTTGGATGGAGTTAAGGAAATAGAGAGAGGGGGGGTGCAGGAAGAGCCACTGAACAAGATAAGGAAGTTGGATCAGCCTCGTGCCTAGCTACGACTTTCATACTACACATGACATGAGTATTACATACACACAATAGACAATAGCACCAGCCCAAACATGATTCAGCATTAGGCGATTGTACGTTGGTTTTTTTGTGATGAAGCAGCTGCCAACGAACGCATTTCGGGTTCGAGAAGTTAACTTGACTCATTTGCAAGCGTGTAGAGTATGGTTGAAGTAGCCAACCTCATTAAGATCGTGATGTTGGGTGTCAAAAAAGCGTCTAGGGTTGCAACCGGTTTGGTATATTTTTGTTCTATTTCGTAAATTATATAATCTTGCTTTGATGCTGTCTGTCAGGGTGGTTAAGACGAAAGCTTAGCACAACTTCATCGGGGTCGCAGGACGGTGAGCCGAGGACCACTTTGCACAATTCAACAGTTTTCATTACGCGGCAATCCTCCCTCGGCTTCTGTAGTATTCGTTTACACAAATTGGTCTAGTATTTGCTATTTATATTTTTCGTTTAGACGAAAGAATTTTAGAATTTAACTTTAGGGTATGCCGATTAATTGATTTCTCTCTTATTCTCTATTTGCCTTGCATTCCGATTTCACCTAAAAGTGTTTAAATCTATTTTGGTGTGATGTCCGGCATAGCTATAGTTATTTAGTTGGTAAGTGGTATAGTTTGTTTAGTTGAATAGGTTAACTTTAGTAAAGAGATCTTTGTGTCAAGTGGGCTGGCTGGTGAATCGGGACCATGGGCAGAAGTCAGCCATTTTGTGATAGCAACTAGACGGTGTAAGCTACCAAAATTCCATGCACCTGCCGGCTTTGAGTGATAGAAGAACCGCAGAGTTTGAACACCAATAGCCTCAATCGTTTGTCACTTTCGTCAGCACGTCACCAAAGCGTAAATTAAGATGGGGCTTTCAGACGCACTGCCTTGACAGTGAAACAGCTGAGAATTTACACCTTTGATAAAAAGATGAAATTCAGTTTCACATGACGACAGGACCCCAGCAAAAATGTGCAAGTTGCTGCTTTGTATGTAGTAATTTTTAAACAAAATACAAACAAAAATAAACCCAGATTAACGCATTATTCCCTAAAAGGCATGCCTGTCATGCCTTTTTGCCCAGGACCCAACAATTCAGCCCACTCTTCAGTGTTTTGGATCCTGGACCCGCCAGTGATAATTAAAAGCACATTTTTATGTTAAAATATCGACTTGTAATGCTCGCCAAAATTGTAGAAACGAAGCTGTTAAAGGCTAACTTAGTTTTGAGAAGGCCAAAACATGTTAAAATTTTTCAACTTCTTTCAATTATTTCAAGTGAATGTTGTTCGTCGTTTAGCTACCGAGGTTGAGGTCGTGGAGCCAGAGAATTAACAGTTGACTACATCGAAATGGCTGAAAAGTGACCATTTGCACATTTGGTTGCACAAATCTCTAAAGTTGTGCTTCTTAGGCGCAACTTTGGGCTCCAAAGTTGTAGGTATACGTTGCCTGGACAACCTCCGTAACTGGCGGCTGCTTGGCGTCTTTAAGTTGCAGCTCGCTCCAGACAACAAACATGTTGACAGTAGATCGTCACTTTTGGTGGTTTTGTTAGACTCCAAACTGGCCTTGAAGTGGAGCGAGGCTGTAGTATTGCATCAAATGCATATAAAGACATTTTCACCTGTAGACGTGTCTTTGTCGTAGGGAGGGCCGTTGTCTTTTACACTTTGTGTTGACACACACAACCGACTCCTCATCACTGGTTCTAATTCGACAACAAACCCCTTCCCTTTCCTGTCAGATCAGCAAACAACAGAGCGTTAGTGAATATTTATCTTGCTGTTTGGGCTCCACTCGGTATGGGACTCATCTCATCTGTCTGCTGGCCATGACGTTATCTTGACGACTATTCGACATCTGGCCAATTGGTCATCTGCCAAAGCCCAATAGATTACTTTCTTTGTGAATATGCTTCGAAACTATCGATGATGCTAGAATAAAAACTTAGGGGTCGAGCCTATATGCAATTTTAACTGGTAATCTCTAAAACTAATTTTTTTTAAAGAATTTTGTTTAACCTGGCCTCACCAAATGTTTTATCATTTTGTCTCTACTAGACAGCATGAGATTGTCTACAACATACAATGGACTCCGGACTAGGTGCGTTCCTCTAAGTCTTCCTACCAATATGACCAAGTTGCGAAAATGAGGTCAAACAACCTCTATGAGATGGTCGAGTTTGCAAACACCTATGAAGTTACTTATTTTCATTATGAGTAGGTTTCGAAACTGTCATTAATTCTTTATTAAAAACCCATGGCGATTATGGCTATATGTAGTTCTCACGATAGTCCCGTATTCATCTGAAAGTATAAATAGTAAAGACATTCGCCCGACGCATTTTTTTCACTTCACTCCACAGGTTATCTTTACATGCATAGTCAGCTTGTATATGCACCCACAAGTCTGGAAGTTTACTATGGTCTCAGCCTCCTCAAGAATGCGTCAGATTGCAGTAGATGATGGGCGCTCCTTCCGCTTCCTGTGGTCCTTTTGCATTATATTCATGTGTGTTTGTCATATTGCTGTCTCTCTGCACCATAGGTTGTCACTTGGTGTGAGCAGAATGGATGCCTGTCTGGTGTGTGGTGTGAGAGAATGGTTGGAGGCGTTGAAGTGTGTCTCTATAATTGCGATTGACAAGCATTGACAAGTCTGAGTGGGCGAGTCAAGCGAGCCGGATTCCCCGAGCACCTGAGTCCCGGGTACAAGTGATAATCAGGCGGAAAATGTGGTTTCATGAAAGCTTAAATCAAGAAAGTCTTAAATAATTATTCGTAGCTAAGACTGGCGGCAGGGTGCCGAAAACCCTGCTTACATAACAGCCTAGAGCTGGATGTCTGTTGCGACTTTATTTACGAATCCGCACTCTCTCTCACACACACGCATACATGCACGCTAGCACCATCATAGGCCCGCTCAAATATACCAACGGTTTGTGAACAGGTGATTCGAGCATTTGTCTTGTCTTGCCTAGCTCTATCCAAGAGTATCCTATCTGTATCTCTTATGTCTCGGCCTCTTTTCTATCACCTTCATCGCCTCTGACAGGAGCTGCGACCTGCAACTTGTGTGGCAGGCAGAAAATGACGTAAAAAGGCAAAAAAGGTAAACTTTTTTTCCACCTCCATCACATTTGACCAAATAATCCAAAGAAGGACAGCTTCACCGGTGTCTATTATCAGGCCGTCTCCGTCGACCACGACTTTCGAGATTTTGTTGCCTCCTTGCGAAAGCATGTGTATATATGAACTTAAGAGCACAGGCCTTTTATCAGTTAACCAGTAAATTGAGATAGACTCACACGTCTCATCATCTCAAGCCAGGAATATGCTGAATAAACAGGACGTCATGCCAACCTACCTTCGTGGAAGCCAGCCACCTCGCGCCGGATTAGACCACAACAGTCTCCGTCACCTCGGCCTCCCCTCCGCCGTCAAAGTATTGTTGCCTGCAAAAGAGCCCAGCTGTACCAACACACTCTCGTCTCGAAGAAACCAAACGATAGACGTTATCGTGCCGCTAGAGGACTCGACCAAAGCTCACTCCGATGGGCTGACTCTAGACCTGGAGGCGATGTGTGGATCCAAGGGAAAACTCTTAAGGCCCAATGAAATTTCGGCCCATAACAACGAGCCCCCGTCTTCAGGTGGTGAAGTTCGCATTGAGAGAAGCCGAAAGGACGCTAAGCGTAATGAATGGACCAATCGACTTGACTTTCTCTTCTCCATTATTGGGTTTTCTGTAG